CAAGAAGAAGTAAAGATTCATCTCCTAATTTGTCTTCTTTCCAATATAAGGATACAACATTTCAACCATATTTAGCTCCTCCAAGTGAGCGTTTAGAGAACAACAATAATATTGTATTGGTTCCTAAAGTCCATGAGATCATGAACAGAGCTTGGTTCCACAAATTGAGAAGTCATCTTGAGAATTTTAGCAACTACAATACAACATTGGACTTATGCGTTCGTGAAGAGGTACACTAAATCTTTTAGTTAATCAGTTTTGTTAACTACTCTTTAATTTTTTTTAAAAGATTAATACAATCATTTTCTTGCTATGTATTAATTATGAGGAAGACAAGATCATGTGGACATCCTAAAGGCAAGCCAAGTGGACGAGCTCCAACACAGCCACTACATCATATCAAACACTTAATGGTAGACATGAACAAGCTCAAATATCAACAGGAATATTTGATGGGATATATTATTGATAACTTACTTTGGATATCTCATCCAAACACATTGACTCTATCAATACCAGCTAGTTTTTCTCCAACTGCATGGGTAAGCTTTCCCTTCATGTGTTAACAAAAGAATAATGATACATCTTGTTATTTGAAATAATAATTTAATTTTGAACAGGAAGTAAGCAAGAAGTTGTTTGGTAGAGGGGATCGCAATTGTTGCTCGGGTACTCAAGGCAAGTGTTGGCGCCATTTCTTGAAACATTTCGAGATTAAAAGAGAAGAAGAAAAAGAAAAGTTCGATGTGCTAAGCTTTCACTATGTCCATCCAGGAGCGGTTAAAGAAGATAGTGATGAAAAGAAGGACAAGTTAATTTTCGCATTTACTTGGAAATCCAATAGATAGGCCACTCTCTTTTAAGTTTTGTGGTTTCTTTTGCTTTTACTGGATGAATTTTGGTCTGCTTTTAGCACGGCTTCAGCGCTGTAATAATTATTTATATGCTCTTTTTGATTGTGCTCTTCTCCTCGTGAAAAGTTAAAATTAATTTCTGTATTCAAAGTCAAGCACTTCAATTTTTAAATATCATTGTTTACTTTAAAAACAAAACAATCTCTTTTCGTTCGGTTTCAAGAGGTGCTTAAGTGATCATTATCGGAGTGTGATCGATTGGAGAAGATAATGGATTGTGGAACTTTGGTTATATTTAGCGAGGATACCTTTCCTTACTTTTCCAGTCCCGATATTATTTTTATTCATGTATAAACAGAGAATTTTGACTGATTGATATATAAATTTATTCTGTATACTTTTCTCATTCGGTCATAAGTAGGTAATTTTCCTTTACATTAGCTATCCTCCGTCATATTTTTGGGACATTGGTGCCCATGCCGTTCATAAACTAGAGCATATATACCCTTTATACTAACAGACATACACGTGTTATAATCTTATCCATCGACCCTATGTAGTCTTCTGTTAGAGTGAACGGCATATATGCTCTAGTTTTTGGACGGCAGGGGCATCAATGTCCCAAAAGTATGACGAAGGGTATTTGCATACCTTTTTGGGACATTGGTGCCCATGCCGTTCATAAACTAGAGCATATATACCCTTTATACTAACAGACATACACGTGTTATAATCTTATCCATCGACCCTATGTAGTCTTCTGTTAGAGTGAACGGCATATATGCTCTAGTTTTTGGACGGCAGGGGCATCAATGTCCCAAAAGTATGACGAAAGGTATTTGCATACCATTTACGATAGTTCAGGGGTATATTTGTCCTTTTCCCCTTTACTTTATTCATCATTTATGATTTTGCGTTTACTATGCAGACAGATTTAACGGACAATTGCATTTAGATTAATCATACATCTTTCGATTGAGTTCAAAATATAAAGTGGTTTTTGATTAAAATATATTAGCAAATTCAGATGACTTGGACCTCAAAATGGATATCGGATATGATGTTAGATATTCACTAGCATTGTTAATTACTGCCTTGGAAATTTATAGACATTGAAATTTTGTGACTCTTACAAGACGTGTTTAAATCGAGTTTAAACTCTACAAAGTGTGTTTAATTTCAATTAGGATTATTGGAGGCTACTCAACCCTAAACTATGTACGAAGACATGAATATATATCTAATATATGTCTACAAAGTGTGTTCAATTTCAATTAGGATTATGATTCATGTCTAATATATGTCTAAAATTCACCGGATGCAAAAAATTATAATATATACACTGTCCTAATAAATTTCTATTAAATAAAGGGAATTTTGTATAAATCAATAGTTAATAAATATTCTATTCCTATTCTTTTCCAAATTAATTCAAATACATCTCAAAATATCCCGATATATCGCGTTTCGATTTCGAATACATTACTCAATGTCTCAATATGGATACATTACTCAATGTCACGATACATCGTGTCTCAATTTCGGATATATCACTCGACGTCTTGATACATCGTGTCTCGATTTCGGATTCATCACTAAACGTCCTGAAAGTAATATATCCGACCGATACATGAAATTTTAGAGAATTTGATGTGTGTGCTGACAAGTTGTACAACATCCATTTTAATAGGGTGTTTTCAGCAAAATTTTGACTCTTCAAGGAAAGAGGAAGAGGAAAAGTTAGATTTTGAGTTTTACCCTAATTCATAAGTGGTAATATATGTAATGGTTTAAAAGTAAAGGGAAAATTAATATTATATGATAGTGATGTAGGTCTAATAAAATAGTTTATCATGAAATAAATTGTGTATTTAGATAAAGCCCATATATATATTGGGCTCGTTAAGTTACACCTATTTTAGATAGATTTTTCCTTCAAATTATAATACCTAGTTAGGGTTTTGTGTTAACGTTTCAGTTTCCACAGCATGGCTGATGATGACGAACTCTTCATCATTACTCACACAATTGAAGATAATCCACCAAATATAGTAGATCCAACCTTACAATTGCCCCATCATATTCTCCATTACATATTTTTCTACCTTAGTTTTCATGACCTGCTTCATGTACGCCTTGTTAACAAAAATTGGTATCTTAACACACCATCACACTTCAATTTCCACTTTAATGAATCTCTTTTACGTAAAAGAGATCCAACTTCTTACTCACTTAACGACTTGTGGGATTCAATACGTTCTTCTATCGACACTTGTAAAAATAAGTTAATCAATGCTGAGAAAAGAGTATTGCACGTTGAGTTTATCAATGTCGAATACATCCGCGATATAATGAAATTGTTGGAGGAAAACAATTTCCATGAGGTTTATTTGAAATTGTTTTACGACTATTTGCCCTATATTTTTCAGTCGAAATGTCTTACTATTCTACATTTAACTAACTGTGTACTTGATAAGCAGCATGTGTTATGTGATGAAGTAACAATTCCCTCTTTGCAAGAGTTGAAATTGGAACGTGTCACCTCATCTGAAGAAGAAATACTATCTAAATTTATTAGTAAGTGTCCTAATATTAGAGAATTGAGTTTGGTCACATGTTGGGGGATAAGCTTTATAGTATTAACTAACTTAGCTTGTTTGGAGAAGCTTTATGTGAACGTTAGTGATTCATCTTCTTTTACAAACATACAAGTTATTGCCCCCAGGTTACAAGTCTTCCATTTCATTTTACGGAATCGGTATCTTGAAATCGAAGACGTTGTTGTTACCATGGATATTCGTGCTTGCAAAATGTTGCGGGAATTTCACTTAAATTGTTCAAAACTTCCTAATGGTCTTGATCCTGAAAATTTCTGTTCAGATTTTCCTCATCTTGAAACTTTGTTAATGGGACCAGAGAAGCCTATCAATATTTCGGGTTCATCGCTCAGAAAATGGATCTTATCCATCCCACAGGTATATAAATGTACAAGAAAAAGTGTAGTTTCATCTCCAAATTTGTCTTATTTCAAATTTAAGGGTACAACATTTCAATCATATTTAGCTCCTTCAAAACTTTTAGAGACCAACTATAATATTGTATTGGTTCCTAAAATCAATAAGATCATGAAAAGAGCTTGGTTCCTCAAATTGAGAAGTCATCTTCAGAATTTTAGCAACCACAATACAACATTGGAGATACGCATTAAGGTACATTAAATCTCTTAATTAATCATCTTTGTTAACTATACTCTTTAATTTTATATATTATATATGTATATTGATGAATCATCTTCTTACTATGTATGAAGACAAGTGCATGTCATCCCAGTAGCAAGCCAAGTGGACGAGCTCCAACACAGCCGCTACATTATATCAAACACATAATGGTAGACATGAACAAACTCGAATATCAAGAGGAACATTTGATGAGATATATTATTGATAACTTACTTTGGATGTCTCATCCAAACACATTGACTCTATCAATACCAACTAGTTTTTCTCCAACTGCAATAGTAAGCTTTTTCCCTTTCTTCCAGTTCAATTTATGTGACACACTTTTATTTTTTCGTAAAAGAATGATACATCTTATTTGAAAATAATTTAAATTTGAACAGGGAGTAATCAAGAAGTTGTATGGTAGAAGGAATCGCAATTGTTGCTCAGGTACTCATGACAAGTGTTGGCGCCATTTCTTAAAATATTTTGAGGTTAAAGAAGAAGAAGAAAAAGAGCATCCCGATGCACCAAGTTCTCTCTATGCCCATCCAAGGAAGGTTAAAGAAGATGAAAAGATGGACAAGTTGACAAAGCTCATTTTCAATTTTTTTTGGAAATTCAATAGTTAGGCCACTCTCTTATTAGTTTTGTGGTTTTTTGCCTTTACAGGATGAATTTAGGCCCGCAATTAGCATGGCTCAAGAGCTTCAATAATTATTTCTATTGTCTTTTCGATTGACCTGTTCTTAGCATGGCTGAAAAGCATTATGTAAAGAGCTAGGCATACAAATGGTACAGTACTAATAATGGCAATCAAGTAACATCTGAAATGCCAAATATGGAAAGGGGGCTAGTAACCGGGGTGGTAGCGGCTGTGAAAGGTGAAAATGGAGGGAAGACAAATAGCTAGTATATTGAACTCATATTAGATAAAAATGCTGCTAAGTAATTCATTCATCTCAAGTGATGTTTACATACAGAAACTGCTAGATATTACAGGTCTACAATGTAATAGTAGTTGTATTAATATATATGACAACAACTTATCTTGGAAAATTTACTGGTGGTTCCAGGCTACTGACAAGGATGCTGAGATCAATGTCTTTGTCTTCAAACTTCTTAATGAAAGGGTGACTCTGAAATTGATATTGTCGTAATGTGGTGAGTTGCACATTTACAGACAGCAACTAAAAAGGAAAACACATGAAAGATGATGCACTGAGTTATGCTTACCAAAAGGTCCAAAGCTGAAGATCTATCCCTGGGATCCTTTTGAATGCTGTGTTAATAAAGCAATGCAAGTTAGCTAGAGAAACAACGAATTAAAAATTCTAGCCAAACAGATTATCAGGCAGCAAACATGATGTAAATAGATAATGAGGGAACTATGCTAAGAACTTTTTTTTTTTTCTTGAAAATTAAATTTAGGGTGATAGAGAAAGACAAAAGTAAACTTGGTGGGAGAGTAAAAACTACAACACCAACTTGCTTGGTGAGCGCTGTTCGAAGTCTTAACACATAAGCAAAAGATACTGTATCCTTACCAAGCAGAAACAAACGAACAGAATTCTGGGGAAAATTGATCTGCTGGAGCAGAAGGTGGTGGACTGCTAACAATAGCCTCCAGAAGCTCGTAAAAGCTAGGCCGAGCTTGCTGGTCCTCTGACTGTATGTATGGGAAACGTCCAATAGCACATTCAAGGATGACCATGCCCAAGCTCCAGATATCACTCTTGTAGTCATAGGTACTTCCACTTATTCTTTCAGGCTTAATCAGGGTAAATAATGAGTCAGTTTACTGCTAAACTGCATTCAATCATGAAATTATTCACAAAATTGCTGAATTGATACTAGACAAAACTAAAAGCCAATTATTGTTGCAAGTTTGATTCCCCCACATACAGCAATTCTTTTCTTGGTCAAAAAGAGCAATTACCAAAACACAGAACAAAACAACTCAACTGCTGTAGGAAGAGGACTTACTGCCATGTAATTGTAGGTTCCAACAAATGTATCCCTTTGACCCATAGAGCTGGCTAGCATTGCACTTACACCAAAATCTGTAATTTTTACCTCTCCTTTGTGGTTCACTAGCAAGTTTGATGGCTTTATGTCTCTGTGGATAACATGTCTCTCGTGATGCAAGTAGACAAGACCTTGTAAAACCTGCAAGAAAATATCAAACAGTGGCAAAAATTCAGCATCTGGAGAGCAGAAATTTGTTCAAAGATTAGTTTCTAGAAAACCAAGAACCTGCTTGCAAACAACTGCGAGATATGGTTCAAGAATTGTCTTAAGTTGCCCGATTACATCAACTAAAGATCCACGGTCCATATACTCCAAAACCAGAGATATAGCTCCATTGTGATAGAAAGAGTGGTAGCATACAACAACATGTGGACATTGTGATGCTTGATTTATTTTCAGTTCTTGCACTATCTGCTTACGAATATCTTCTTGTATATTCATCTGGATAACCTGGATCAGAAACAATCATCCATCAACATTAAAGGAGGTGACCAGGATGAAGTTAAATCAAAATACAATTTCGGCTCACCACTGCAACAAAAAGCAAAATGGGTCAAGTTACACCAAATGGCCAAGATACAAGGGTCAAATTGCACCAATGTGGGATGAAGGATTTTGCAAATTGTTATTCCAAGACACTAAGACATATGTGTGTTTGGTTGCTTTATCCAAATGCTAAAACAGTTCTCTAATAGGGATTAGAAACTATTTTTTACAAAGATTTAGTGTGGTCTGTTTCAAGTGCTACACCTCAAACAAGAAAAGCTTGCTCTTCTGCAATTCATCGATCGAGGATCATTACCATATCCACTATTGCATGATATTGATAATTATAGCGACTAATGTGTTAGTATTGCACTTTTCTTGGTCCTAACTACACACAGACATCATTAACCAATTAAATTGGAGAAAAGAGGAATTCCAAGGGATTCTTGCTTGGTAGGTACTGACCTTCAGAGCAAACAATGTTCCAACCCATTTATGACGAACAAGTTGAACAACACCCCCACTTCCTTTTCCAATGACTTTGATGGTTTCAAGATCTTCCAATGAAAATTGAAGATCTATCTCCTTTGTTTCTGAGGGCTGTGAACATTACACACAAAACATTGAAACTTTCCATCAGATCATAGAAATGTCCAATACCAAATTTTGAATTAACCTAAATTTAAGTATATATCTGCTCACTAATTAAACAATTAATCCTTGGTTGAAGCTAGATTCAATTTGACGAAATAATACATCAGACAAAGATATCTACAAATTTACAGAAGTTAACAAATTGAAGTTTCCAAAGTGCAACTTTAGCTAAATAAACAATCAAAAAGAACCTGCTCAACTTAAAATGGAATAACAATGAAGACATCAGGTCAAAAGTATCTGCGAATTTACAAAAGTTAACAAATGTAAGTTTCCAAAGGGCGGCTAGAGCTAAATAAACAATTGGAAATAATCTGCTAGCTTAAAATGGAATAACAATGAATAAATATCAGGTTAAAATTATATTCAAATTTACAAAAGTTAACAAACTTGAAGTTTCCAAAGTGCGACTAGAGCTAAATAAACAATTGAAAATAATATGCTTAACCTAAAAAGGAACAACAATGAAGACATCTCAGGTTGGTTTCATAACTGAAAGTAATTGCAATACGAAAACTTAAACTACAACATGTGGAAATAGCAAAAAAAATCAAAACGAAGTATCTCTGTTTCAAGTCCTGAGTAAGGAAAACTCCTTGGTAGGGAGAGCTTCCCTCAAATGGGCCCTACGCGGTGCGAATCCGGATTAATCAGGCTCCAATGCAGTTACCGGACACGGATGGAAACCGAAAAAGAAAAATCAGAAGTAGATCAATTAAATTGAAAAAACTAACCAGAGATTCATTCTCTTCAGAAATGAGTCTGAGTCCTTTCTGGTTCAAAAGTAAATCGCCATCATGAAACGTTCCACTCGCAGTCCTGAATCAACAGCAATCAATAGTATCAATTATCATTTTTTCACTAAATAAATGGGATTTTTTTCAAAAAAGTTGTACTACAAGTAGATTCGAGGTAATGAGTAAGAAAGATACTTACAAGAAGCTGGAAATGGGAGTATCTTGAGCGGGTACAGAGAGCTTAAGTTGCTTCAATGGCTTCGCCGTCTTCATAATTTTGATCCACTAGGGTTTGAAAGGGGAAGTGGAGATTTTAGATTTTGAAAAGTGAAACGAACCGCCCAAAATACCCACTGATTTTCAAACTCAGACAAATACCAACAAAATTATATTCTATTTCTATTACTGACAGGTTTGAATGTTTAGCCTACACATTTTTATTTTTATTTTGAAAATTGAATAAAAACAAAGCAATCAGTGATCCTTTATTCTTTTTATTATTTAAACGAAAAGTTAAAAATATCTTTCAACTATTAAAATTAACCAATTATACCCCTATTTTATCCTCTCTTTTTTTTTTTAAAAAAAAAAAAAGAATAACGTTGAGATGGATTCTACCTTTGTAAAAAGATTTGCCTATATAAAATTTCTTATATATATTGTGTTTTCTTCTCAACGGGATAAATATATGTCACCTAAATGCTTGAACATACATATGTTACCTAATTGTTACTCCTAATATAGTGAAATTTTCCGATAAAAATGAGGTGATTTCTTTTCATTTGGATGTCTAGTTTTTCGAAGGAAGAGTTATTCCATGTTTATATTGATGCATGTAGCAAATACTAATGAAATAGTTGAATTGCACGAAAATACTATAACCCGTTCACCCATGATATTCTATCCGACCAGCCCAAATAGTTGGATTTAAACCAAAGCGTGTTGAGTTTCAAGTAGAGATGGCTTGAAATCAATTTCCAGCTACCAAATCTTTACAAATATAAAGCAATTGGTTGAAAAGCCAAACAACAGTGCTAGCAATTACCAAATCTTTACGAACAACACAAAAGGAAAAGCCAAACAACAGTGCTAGCCTAAACAGCATGACTATTCTCCCAGCTGATCTTTCATTGTAAACTTGAAATGCATTTGGTTGGAGCCATTCGAAGACAAAGAGCTTGGTGTTTAAGTGAAGAAGGTAGAAGAGAGTCCATCATCAACTGAGTAACTACTCGGATATTTCTCGATTGTAAAAGCAATGCTTTGCTTGGAGCAACTTTCCTAGTCATCTGGTACGAAAACCATATCATTCTTCTCGATGAAGTCCTCATATGTTGAGAGATGAACCACCTGCACATGATGTACAATAGATCAAACACATTACACATCCACAACAGTATTGATGCATCCATTGCATATTGATCACAAAACAGCTATTCACCAAATAAGGTTTTATAGACAAGTTCCACCTTGACAATGTCATCAACTTGCCACTGTCTACTTGCAGATTGCACAGCTTACTTAGTGTTAATTGGCTCTTTATGACTGTTAAACCCAGCATACAATATCTAAACATATTGCTGCAGCCATAAATAAATAAAAGTGCCCACCTCACTAAATCTTTGAACTTTTTAAAAAGGTCATTCACACATTTCAATGTTATACCAGAGCAAACAGAGAGTTCAGTCTCGCAATCATATGTCAATAAAATACTTCTACGAAACTAATCCAAGATAAAGAATTCAGTCATTACAAGGTAGGAGAGGGAGTGATGCAGCCCAGAAGAATATAAAAAGAAAAAATGTCGTACTTTACCAACTAACAGCTTATAGATCACATGAATAAACACAAACTTAGTTGTCCATCATATCCCAATAGATGTGATGTGATGCCCAAAGAAATGGGAGAAAAAAGATGCCGTTTACGGCCTTCCCACATATCAGTTTTGCTTATCTAAGTTACTTTTCTTCTTCTTTTTTTCATTTAGCTGATAAATTTGCTAATATAAGTTTCAGCTCATTTGATATCAACTCCTTTTTTTATCAACAGAAGCTAACAAGACTTAGAAATTAAGAACCAATAACAATTGGAGCTAATGTTACCAAGAAATGTATGGGGGTCATTATCCTGCTTATCAAAAACAATATTTACATAATGCAAGCAAGCAAAATGTACAAATGTGAACTATTCAACTGTGATAGGAGAAACCAGGAGACCCTTACATTAGTATTTTTCAACTCCAGATTGTAGAAGTTCATTGTATCATATGTAAATAATGCCCCAGCATCTCAAGTTCAATGATTCAGCTATATAAACTTTGGACCTGAAATTCTGCACTAAGTCAACAGGAGGCTGAGGAGCCACATAAAGTGCCCACAATGGGACTGCACAAATTTAGCACCAACGACACCCTTGATATCAGCTGGATCCACAATAGATGGCTTAACAACTCCAAGGACCATACATTGCCTCCAATATATCCAAGACATTGGGTCAATTGGCATGATGCATTATCTTAGAAAATCTGAGTGACCGATCTTTAAGCTGCATGAATTTAAAATGTGACAGAACAAACCAAGTGCAAAGCTCAATTCACTTAATATTCAATAACCAATCTAGCAAAACAATTTTTGGATAAACAAACTCAAAAGCAGGGAAAGAGGACACTAGAGGGGGGAAATGAATATGAAGTCCTTGAGAAGTTTCAAGTTGCGGGACATAAAATCTTTTACATTTATCGCATCCCATTGATTGAGAGGTACATATTGTAACGGCCCCTAGGAACGTGCACAGCTGCATAATTTAAAAGGTCGCCTATTCAGATGTTTTAATTGTTTAAACATGTTCTGCATCTAATTAAAAAGGATATCTCTCCTTCACCACTATTAACTAACTTATCTAATAATGCAATCAGAGAAAGAATAACTACAAACTGATAAAGGTTTCTGGTCATACTTGCACTTATAATGGAAACAATTTGAAATTCTGTCTCTTCAGTTAAGCCCTCTTCTTTGGTCTCTTTGGACCTGACTATTCTTTTATATTTTTAGACGACTCTATCATCAAAAAGTATTAAGTATTGAGTTTTGATTTATCTTATTAAGAGAGAGAGCCGGTGTGATTTACATAACTGCTGAAAATGAACATACGAAGACCCATTTCTTTACTATTCCAGGACTACACAATTTTGCTTCCTATGGTATGAAAATGGGTTCAACTGAAACTAATATTTTACATTCATTCCTCAAAACAACAGACTTTTTAATCAAAAGAACATCAATTTAATATAAACAAGTGTTATCTGAGCTAAATAAAGAAGATCACTAACCTGGGAATGTCACGGCTCAAGTCAGTGATAGCTATATGATAAGTTTAAATTCCTTGAGCAGAATCACATAAACATAGTAGTGCCGATAATAATGCAATTAAATGCACCTTTCATAAAGATATGTGTAAAAAAAATCTATAACTACAGCGTTGATAAACATAGCTTGACAGAAAAAAGTTCATTACACGTTCTTCCTTGCAACGATACAGCAGAAATTATAAACAAATCAGTAGCACAGGGAAAAATAAATTAGCACAATTAGTAGAATAAATACAAGATGAAAAGAATTTGTCAAAAGACGATCATCTTCTCCTCTCCTTTGAATTACAATTACAATGAAGGACAAGAGCGACAAACTTTTCAGTCACAAAGACGAAGCCTCTTAAGAGTCTCTCACACTACAGTAGATACTCATTACATAACTTAAGCCTAATGCTTAAAAGAAAAAACTAACAATCCCAATAGGAAGCGGGCAATTTTTTGGCCTCTCTCTACTCTTTGGGTTTCTCCGTTTATTGTTTTTACGATCTCAACTTAACACTCATTCATCACCTCATAAACATATTCACAAACAAGATTTGAATGACAGGATATCGTACACAACTCATGGTGACCCTCTTTCTTTCACTCTATATATACAAGACTAAAACGAATTTGTTTTGGTTACTCATCTCTCCCCAAAAACTTCACTTTTTAATATCTTTTTCTTTGTTGTAGTTGTTATCATTATCATCTCTGCAACATGATTTACCTAAGCTACAGCAGAGATGCTGCTGCAGCAGTTGAAGCCTTCAATCCTCACAGCAGCTGGCTTAATCCCAAACTTCACTGGAACACAGCCGCCTCCATTGTTACGACCACAAGTCGGAGTAAAGGAGGGTGGTGGTGAAGGTGCTCCTTCTGGAATTGCTAGTATAGGAACAAAATTGTCGTTGCCGAATTGGGCATCCTGAATCAGGGGATTCGAAACCCTGCTGGGCGGAGACCCAAAAAAGAATGGTGGTGATGAATCCATCTCAAAATTGGTCATCTCTACATCATAGCTCCCCTGTTTACAGAAAAAAAAAGTTATCAGATGTAGTAATTGAATTATAAACAGTTCACATCACAAACTAAATCATCCATAATTTACCTTGGTGAGGATGATATCCAGAAGTTCAGTTCCGGCTTTCAAATCATAATCATTCATTTGCTGATTACTACAAGACCCAACAAGAGAAACACCAAAACCAATTAACAAAAGGGAAAAAGGGAGAAACTAAAACAGCAGACAGAAGACGTATATGAACATACTTGATTTGCAGAAATCGAGAAGGTCTGATGGGTTCGTTGAAAAGCCCGTTCCGGCGAGGTTTGGGGCAAACAAGACCATCAGAGACAGAGATATCTGCCCGTCTAATTTCTCCAACTCCAACACAACCCATAATGGCCTTCTGCTGATAACCGCATCTATTCATTTTTTTTTTTCGATTTTGCACAACAGATCTAAAGGGCTGAAGCAATAAAGAAGAATACAGTGTATCAAAAACTTGAGATCTCTATGATCATAGCTATGAACATATATATATATATATATATATATAT